CCGCCGCTGGCGCTGCCGCCTCCTCCTTTGCTTTTGAGGCCTGCGGCCGCGGCTGCCGTGGCGCCGGCTGCGGTGCCGCGTGCGGCGCCGTCCTGCGCGCGGCCGCCCCTGCCTTGGCTTTCGGCACCTCTACGGTGTTGAGGGCGGCGAGGAACGCGTCGGTGTCGTCGGCCACGCCGTCCCCCACGGCCCCAAAGTCGAGCTTCAGGTCAGCGACGACTGGCAGATCCTCGGGCCCCGGCAGCGGGCTCTCCCCTGCCATGTACCCCGCGAATGACCAGTCCGGCAGCCGCCCATTCGGCTTCCACAGCTCGCCGGCGCAGCCGTACAGCTGGGAGGGAAGCAGGTATCCGTCGTCGCAGGCGGGACACGTCGCGCCGACGGGGACGCGGCCGCCGGGGTAGCAGCATTTGTCGCCGCCGCTGCTGCAGCCGTAACCTGGCTCGAGCTGCGTCGCGGCCCTGTCCAGCCCCGCGCCGCAGCCGGCAGACGGCGAGGCCGGGTCGATGAGGTTTGCTCCCCACTCCGCGGCGGGGTTCCAGATGCGGGCGCGCGTGCTGGCCGCCCTGACAGCAGAAAACAGGTCCTCAGGCTGCGCCGGGACTGTCAGGTTTGTCGCGTCGAGCAGCCATCCAAGGTAGTCGGGCGCGCCCGCCGTCCCGCGCAGCCGCAGGCCGCCAGCGCTGAGTGCGGGGCCAAAGAGCGGCGGGGGCGGCGGGAGCGCTGCGTCGGGGGCGCTCGAGGCGCGGCAGTTCCAAAGAGTGAGGAGGCCGCCGGTGGCAAAGGAGCGGCCTCGCCACGGGCTTGAGGCTGCATGGATAGCGGAAGTTTCAAGCGGGGGGGAAAGGGGCTTGCGGTCAGGCGTGTGCGACTCCCCGTGGGGGAGCAAGCACCATCTGTTGCTGCACGTTCCCTGGTTCCCTGCAACCATTTCTGGCTGGGTCTCTGCAGCTCAGGCGGTGGCCCCCAAGTCCCAGCAGCCCCCAAAAACAAAGCTGCATGCCCCCAGCTTGAGCAAGAGATCAGCAGACCGGCCAGTCACATGCCCGAACATCACGTGCGCACCGCGCTCTCACCTTTTCCAAAGTCAACCTGGTTGATGAGCAGCCCATAGGGCCCCGAGTTCTCGGTCCCAACCGACAAGTCCACCCCCTTCCCATCAGTCACCACGACACCTGTTGACATACGCGTCACTGAGACGTCTGTCCAGAAGCGCGTTGAGAAGTCAAAGTCGGTCAACAGGACTTCGCGGCTGTTGTGGACCCAGATGCCGCGAGTGCCGCTGACTCCTGACGCGGACCTGAGTTGTGTTGTGAATGGCAGTTTGGTGATCAGGGGAAATGGTGCGCGCGGGTGACACACGGAGGCAGCGTCAAATGACATCCGCAGGGACAGGTTGCCTTGGCAATTTGCAATTACCAGCCATGTGCACGCCCGTGCAGACGTCTGCATGCGCTCGTGCACGCGCACGTAATATGCGCGCGTGCGCACGCACGCACGCGAATAGCACACACACGCACGCACACACACACACAAACACACACACACACACACACACACATCCACACACAAACACACCTGCTCTTGTCAACCGTGAGTGCGACGTCCTTGATTGTAAAGTGCGAGCAGTCCCTCAACACAAGCGCCAGATCGGCATTTCGGAATCCAACATCTGTTGGTGGGAGGATGTTGCGGCAGGAAATTGGGAGCAGTGCCAAGCACATGGCAGTGATGGGCCCAACAATGGCAAGGGGGATGTGCTCGCAATACGCGGGGTGGCACAAATTCTGTGCAAGTGAGGGCGCAGGTCCACAAGTATGATTGTCAGCGAGCCCACTGGACGCCTCTGTATTACCACAACTGGGTTGTTGAACAACCCAGAAATCCTGAAACCCACCCCTCACATGCATGCTGCTCACCTTGCACCCAGGAATTTTGAACAGATGCAAAACCCAGCAGGTTGTACCCCTTCTCGTGCCCCACCCCCTTCCAAGGGCTGTGAGGCAGCGCCATTGTGAGGTGCTCCACGCCGCACAGCGTGCGCCTGAAGCCGCCCGTCGTCGAGACGCGCGGCCGCCACACCAGCCGCGCGTCGAGCGGCAGGGGGCGGTCGATCTCGATCGCGCGAGCGGCGGCGTCGACGGCCGTCGCGCGTGCGACGAAGCGGACCATCCCCTCCTCTGCAGGCTGGCGCTCCAGGCCATCGCGGCCGTCAAGATGTCCGCCTGCCATGGCGGCCTGCAGGCAGCCATCCTGAGGGTTGTCGAGCGTGAACAGCAGCAGCTGACCGGGGGTGATGGCTGACACCGTGTCCAGCCACAGGCGGGTGTCCCCGCGTGAGGCGTCGCGGGTGACTGAGGCCAGATGGTACCTGTTGTTTTGTGATGCGGGCAATACCGCTCGCTGGGAAGGCTGTGACCACGGCTGTTGTAGTGATTAAGTCAGGGTGGTAACTGTGACATGCACCTAGCCATACACCAGCATCTTGGGCGGCCTGGGGCCCAGAGATGGCCCAAGCAGCGGACAGCAAAAATGCTCAGGGGCCTTGATCATCCTTTGCCAAATAGCCCAGGTCACGAGTGCCCGCTGCTTGCAGCCTTCGCCTTAGCCTCCCGACAGGCCGCTCACTGGTCCTCAAACCACCGATCGATGCCCTCAAACTGGATCCAGGCGCGACCCCGCGTGTACTCAGTCGTTCCCCCCGGCCGCTCCTTCAGTCCGTACACCGCCGACAGCGGCTGCGGGAATAGCAGCGTCGTGCGGTTGCGGCCGGCGCCACGGAGCACGATGCGGCTGGGGATGGTGATCTGCTTTGTGATGCGGTACGTGCCTGTGGGGTAAGAGGGGGTGGTGCCAAAGGGTTGCACGCAGAGATGTGAGAGAATGGCCGTCATACTCTGCAGTAAAGCGGCAAAACATAGGCGGTGCTCTTCAGCAAAATTGTTTCTTTGTTGAAGCCAGCAGAAAGGTGCCAAAAGCCTTGCAGCTGGCAGCACGCTAGCCCGCCGCCAAGCTATGTGTGAGCGTGCCCCGCATCCGCGCCGCCCACCCTCTGGGATGAACAGCACCGCGCGGTCCTTGACGCTCGCGATCGCGTCCAGGAACGCCTGGCTGTCGTCCGCCACGCCGTCCCCGACCGCCCCAAAGTCCGCCCGCACGTCCGCCGCCACCGCCAGCGCCGGCAGCGGCGCGTCCCCGCCTGCAAAGCCGGCCCAAGACCAGTCGTACAGCCGGCCAGCCGGGCCAGTGCCGGCGGACGCAAAGAGCTCCCCTTTGCAGCCCCAGAGGGACGTCCAGCCGCGCAGCCGCCCGGCGGCTTCTATGGCCGGGTCGCAGGCCGGGCATGTGGCGTTGCCGGATGGCAGGCAGCACTCGACGCCGTCCTCCTGGCAGTACTGCACCTCTGGCGGCGTCGGCGGCGGCGGAGGCGCGAGAAGAGGCACTGTGTCTGACAGTAGTAGGTCACTCACGAGCAGGCCGCCGGGCAGCAGCAGGGCCGCCTGCGCTTTCGCCGCCCCAAAGATGTCGTCGGCGGGGTGGTGCGCCGCCAACATGTCATCCAAGATGCCCGAGATGCCGGGCAGGGGCGCAGCCAACTCCTGCTGATCTAATGGCTCCGAGGCTGGCATGGTCGCCGTTGGCGCTGATGCGGGATTATCGGGCACCTCCTGTGGGGCCGCCGCCACCTCTGATGCCGGCTTTGAGGCTGCCACTGGGCGGGGCTTGAATGTGGGCACCGTGACTGTTGTGGTGATCGCCGAGGCGGCGCTCGGCTTGGCCGGAGCTGTTGCCGCTGACGCAGACGCTGTGGAAGGGTGCACAACGCCAGGCTTTGCAGGGGCCCTCGAGGCAACGCTGGCAGCAAGCGCCGAAAGCCGGGGCCCGGCAGGCGGCGCAGCCGAGCGCGGCGCCAACGTGGGCAGCTGCGTCGCCGTGGCATCGGTCTGGGCGCCTTTCAAGGGCTTCTTGTCTGGCAGATGCAGCGCGGTCGTCAGGGGCTGCTTGCCGGCCGCCGGCGGGACACCTGCATGTGGGGTGTGCGCGGCCACCTTCACCATTGCGGATTGCGGAGGGCGCGAGCCTTGCACAGAAAAGGTAGCCTTGAGATGCACCTTGAGCAAGGGGTTTGCCCCCTGTGTCTCAACATCTGGGGCGGCACCACCCGCTCCCTTTGCAGGGCCTGGTGTCGCCGCGGTGTGAACTGGCTTAGCAGCAGCCTTGCTTGGCGCCGCCGCTGGCACGGGCTTTGATGCTGCCCACGGCCCCTCCTTGGCGCCAGCCGCTGCCGCCGCCCGGCTCGCCTCCTGCCCCGCGGCCGGTGATGCGGCGGCCCTCTGCTCGCGCCCTGCCTCCAACGAGGAAATTGTATTGGCGCCCGGCTTTGTAGCCAATCCCGCGTGCTTGGCAGCCCGCATTGAGCGCTCAGTGGCGGGCGTTGTGGCGCCCGGCTTGGGCAGCCCTGCCAGAGAGATTGCTGTGACTGGCGAAAGGATGACGGCACGTGGCGCGTGCGGCGGGCGACTGCGCATGCCGCCGGCGCCAGGTGCCGAAGCGGAGAGCCGGGGAGCCGTAGCGGCAGGCGTGCTGGTCGGGCCACTGCTGGATGCTGCGGCGCGCAAAGGCCTGTGCGTCGCATTCGTCGGCACGGGCGCGACCGCGGTGGCTGGCGTGGCAGCGGCCGGGGGGGCCTTGGACCCAGCAGGGCGCTGCCTCTGAGCCAGCACCCGCTCCAAAGCAGCGGCCGCTTCTGCCACCGCCGCCGCGCCTCTGGAGTGCGCCGACTGGTGCGCCGGCTTGGCGGCGGCGGCGGCGCGCGCCTCAAGCTGTAGGTCCAGGGCTGATGTGATCCCCGCGGTCGACTTGATCGCCACGAAGAGCGGCCCCACTGCAGGCCGGTGCGTCTCGGCCGTCACTGCGTGGTGTACTGCCTGGGACTGCCGTTTTGGTGGAGATGGCCCTGCTGGTTGGCCATGCTGATTGTGAGGCGTTGCGATGACTGCGTTACCTGTGCCTGGCGCCACCGGCGCCGTTGCTGCCTCATGGCGCGCCGCCGCGTGTCCCGCTGCCTGCTGCTGATGGTTTGATCCCGAAGCCATAAGCTGGCGTGCCGCGCCTGCGGATGGCTCTGGCTGCTGATGGCTGTGCTGGTGCTGCTGATGCTGCTCCCACTGTTGTGGAAGTTCAGCAATACTTGAGCTGTTGCTTGGCGGCGCAACTAGCGCCTGAGCTGCCACGCCGGGGTCAAGCAGCAGCAGCTGCTGCAGTCCATCAAACTCTTCCTGCAACTGCTGAGGCTGCTGGGGTTGACGATGCTGCTGCCGCTGCTGCTGCTGCTGCTGCTGCTGCTGCTGCTGCTGCTGCTGCTGCTGCTGCCATGCCTGCTTGCCAGTGGACCTCCCTTGCACCTCAGCGGCTGATAGCACAGGACACAGCGCGCGCGCGGCGAAACACGCGTGACTTGTAGTGGATGTCAACATGAGGCAGCTTTGTGTAATAGAACATCAGCTCAAATAAAATCCAGCAGGCGTGTGTCCTGCCACTCGCGTACACAGCTGATTACCTTGCGCGTGTGGCGGTGTTGCGGGTAGCGAGAGCGCCGGTTGCGACAGCAGCACAACCAACACCACCAGCGCGCGCACCGCTGTGCACCGTAGTTTCTGCGAGTATAACAGCATCTGTCACCATACGCTTTGTCACTGAGACCCGCTTATCCCAAACCACCCTTGAATCCACACCTGCCGCGCCATTCACCCGTACAATACACCTGCTGTCTGCAATTGATGTATATCACATTATTTTCAGGTTGTATAAGTAGTCGCGTATAGATCGCATACTTCCATGTACAGTAACAGTCTTGGCCGCGTAAAACCTTCCCCCGCGGGGTGCTGCACAGCCCACCTGTGCGTGATACTGCTGATCCCAGTTACATACTACCTTAAAGGCTACTTGAAGCTTTTACAATTCACATACACGATGCTGCTTGACGCAGGAGCTGCAAGAGTGCCAAGTACATGTCACCCCGTCGTATACAGCAGGCGCCAGGGCCGTTGCGTCTCATGGGCTTGGGCTGCGCCACCACACCCCTTCAAAGCTGCATAGGGTTTCTGACGAAATGATGTTGAAACCACGACATCTGCTACCGCTTACAAAAAATTGATTACGGTATGTGACACCCCATGATTGAATGATGGCACGCAAAAACTCGCGTGTCCAGACACCGCGTGCACACAGACAACATGGCAACAAAAATCTATGTACATCAAGCAATCAACTACACAACGCGCACATGAGGATATTGCGCACTAAGTATCCCAAGTGTCGGGCCACAGCGAGCAATGGCAGACGCCACTGCTGCCGTTTGCAGTGCCCTGTCATCACTTGCTCGGCTTGACGGGTGGCAGCAGCACCGTGTCCACGACATGGATGACGGCCTGGATAGAAAAACGCCAGTGCGGGGGGCGGGCCAATAGAGGGTTGTCAAAAATGCGAGCTTTTCGCAAGCCAGGCGAGACAAGGTTGCAGAGCAGATTCAAGAGTTGCGCACAAATCACAAGTGTGTGACGTGCTGCTGGCCTAGGCCTTGCCCAACGCACTGCTGCTCGCAGCCAAAACCACTCGCACCTGTCCAGCCGACAGGTCAGCAGCGATGACCTTGGCTGTCTCGGTGGCCCCCTTGATGGTTGTGCCGGCAACCTGCAAAGCAACAGGGTTATGGAACGCCCACGTCCACATATCTGCTTCGCAACAACTGCTTGAATCACAGCACCCACAGCTGGGAGTAACTGCCGCTGCGGCTGAACTGTCAAGCGTGTGTGCTAGCCGGTAGCATACCTTATCGACGGCGACGGTCAGCTTATGCTTTGAGACGGTGGTGAGCTCCTGGCCATTCTTCAGGTCAGCAGCCTTAAGGGCCTAAGGGGGGAGTGGTGTGCATGAGTGTGGAGGCAGTGGGGTGCAGGGAGGGGAATTCGTGTGCGTGGGCAGGATGGCATGTGCCTGCACGCACCGACCATGCAAGTTTGGGTGGGAGCGGCCGTGCTTGCGTGCACCTGCCAGTGGTGACATGCCGTTCGCGGCAGGCCACCCGTGTCCAAACGACAATGAAAAGCGGCCAGGGACTTTCGACGGGCGGCAGCGACACCAAAGAACACGCACGAATCAACAAACTAGAAACACCCAGTCCCCACCTGGTCGGCGATGACATGGTAGCTGCAGCAGGGGCGGCAAGACATGGGCACACGAGTTCAGTGGCAGCAGATGGTGTAAGCAGGGGGCGACAGAGATGACCAAAAGAACTCGCAAGCCAATGGTGAGCACAACCAAAATCAGCGCTCATCATATGGCGCTAGTCAGCACACACAGAGCGGCAATCATCCTGCAAAGCATTCAAAAAGTTGCGCCGGCAGGCAGACTCTCGCTTAGCCTGCAACCCGTACCGCACCTCAAGATGTTTGTGAGGGCCGTCTTGTCAGCATACAGCTGCGCGAGCGAGCAGCGTTTGGATCGGAAGGGTTGTGACATGCAGTGCGTCGCCCAAGTGCGCAGCAGACCAGGTGTACGCTGCTCCCAACCAAAGACTGTGACAGCAATAAACTGCCTGGAGCCCCGGAGCTTCTGGCCTGCGTTCAGCGCGTGCAAAGACATGGCTTTCGACTGGATGGGTAAATGCGTAGATAAACTTGCAAAAACAGGGAATGGGTCGGCGACACTGACCTGGATTGGGGTGAGCTTCAGCTTGAGGAGCGCGGCCTGGAACGCCTGCGGTCACGCAGGATCGCAGAGAGGAGGGCGGCAGGAGTGCGCGGTACTGTATCAGCGGCGTGTGCTGAACGATAAGTAGGGGCGCCAAGGGGACGCTGAGGTAGTGCATCAGAACCATTGCTCTCGTCCGCTGCGTGGTGTTGATTTGCGCAGTCCGTAATATGTACGTGCGTGACCAACAACGCTATTTCCCCTGTGGCGTAATTCTCTCTGCAGCGCAGGTTGGCGGCGCCCTCACCTTGTTGGTGGGCGCAAAGATGGTGACCTTGAGGTCGGGCTTGGCGATGATGGGGTTCAGGTCGGCCCTGCGCAGCAACCAAAAACACAAATACACACGCAGAATTCAGGCCGAGGTGCAGGCGACGAGGCACGCCGCCCGTGAAGTGCAGCTTGTGCAAACGCAGCCCAAGTCCCCCAACCTATCACGCCTCACACAGGTGGTGTGTTGGTGCGCGCGTGCAGGTGGTTCACACGGTCGCGCGCGTGCAGGTGGTTCACACGGTCAAACTCGCCTTGGGAGGGCGTTTATGAGGATAGACATGTTGCCGGGCGCCTGCTTGGCCAGCTCGGCGACGGTGTTGGGGTTTGCTGCCGCGAAGCGCAGCAGCACGGCCCAAGATCGTAGGCTGGACAGGAAGTCGTTGAAGGCGCAGCTCATGTGCTGCTGGGCGGCGTGCGCCGCGTCACCGACATCGGCGCCAACTTTGTGAGGGGAGGGAGGCGGCAGGAGGGTGCTGATGGGCGGTGCTGGGCGTGGTGACGAGCCGTCCAGGGGGCGGCGGGTGGCACGGCCTCATGCCGCACGTTGCGGAGTTTGGGGCCAGCAGAATATCTGCTGCCAAGGCATCGACTTGTTTCACCAATTGGAAATGACAGCCCTGGCGAATCCCATCGCTTCATGCATGCGGCCAAGAGATCCATGCTGGCACACTGGCCACTGCCTGTCCTGATGAGCGGGCAGTGCAGCCCGATGCCGCTCGACGGCGTCCCGTCGAATGTGCCATTGCTGCGCCCCATACCTGACGGCGTTTGAGTGGCCAGAAGACCGATCAGCACGACTGCGAGCAAAAGACGAGCCATATTGGCGCTTTCGTGGTCGACCTGGGGTGCGAGCTACGTTGGGATATTCGAAGCTGCTCCAAGCCGTATGATCACCGTTAAGTTACGGGTCGCTTGGCAATCCAGAACAAGATCGTTACAGGGTGGCTACGGCAGTTGCTGGGATTTCAGTGCTGATGTCATGCGATCTCAGCCTCGTGAGCCGCGCCTTCCGCTACTGCTGAGTCAGCAGGCTCCATCTCTTCAGGGAACCCCAAGATCGCGTCCTTCTCCTTCTTGCGACGCTCAAACGCCAGCGGCGTGAGCGGCAGCTGCAGCTTGAGGCGGAAGGCGTCGTTGCCACTCAGGTAGTACCTGCAACCAAGGGGGGCGGTCAACACTGGTTCTCAATCGGCTGCTGCGACATTGGCAACCAGGAGCGTGGTGAAAAATTATCAAACAATTTGGTGTACTTGTAAAAAGAGCACGTGCGCCATGCCGCGCCCTGCCAACGGGCAACAGCACGTCCCCTCCGCCCGCGCACCTGTGCAGCCGCTTGTCCCTGATGAACCCCAGCGCGCGGTACAGCGCCAGCGCGCCCGTGTTGGTGACCTCCGCCTCCAGAGCCACCTCCTCTGCACCCCCCTCGATCATCGCCTTGATGGCCATGCGCGCCAGCGCGGATCCTGCCAGGAATCAGGCACAGGGATGGCACCAGGGACCGCGCGGCGGCGACGGTTGTCGGAATGGAGATGGACGTGCTGCGTCGGGGAGACGGGTGGCGACGACATGCGCCAGGGATCTGCCCAGGTGCTGCACGGGCTTCCTGCAGAGCGGCCCACCCCTCTCTGCCAGCAGCCCACCTCCACAACCCTGGCCTCGCTCTCTGCCTCCACAACCCTGGTCCCTGCCCCCTGCGCTGTCCCTCGCTGCCCGTCCCGGCATGCGCACCCATGCCCTTGCCCCTGAAGCGCTTGTCCACCACCAGCATCGCCAGGTACCCCCGCAGCTGCTTGCCCCTGTGAACGTCCATCTTGCACACCACCACGCCGCACGGCTGCCCGCTGGAGTTGTCGTGCGCGAGGAAGCACAGCTGCGGCCACTGCGGCCGCGGTGGAGCGAGGGCGGCGGCCGGCAGGCGGAGGCAGCGCAGTCTTGTTGGCGAACTGGCCGCGGCAGCGTGATCCCTTGCCAAACAGGGCGGACGACGCCCGGATCCGGTACCATTGCGGCGCTAGGCGTTCTCTCAGCCACCATTACGTGCAGAGACCCCGTTGCCCACCGAGCGCCACCCTGCTGGCTGCACGCCCGCCGCGCCCGGCGGGCGAGCCGTCGTTGCCGCGGGCGGCCCTCCGCTCGGCATGCCCTGATCACTGACGCGACTGTGGGATGCGACCCACCGATGCCAGGAAGTATCTGTATGTGAATATGGAGTACGGCTCTGACAGGTCGTTGTCAATGAGGTCCATAACTGCCGCCAGGTCAGACTCATCGCGATACTGAGGAGTTTGTAGCGGTGGGTTGCGCGGGTTCAGGCATGTGCGTATGTCCGGGAGGGCGACTCTGCTGCTTGTGCGAGTCTCCAGCATTCAGTGCCACACGTCAATTGCGAGCGCATTGACAGCAAGCACAGCTTATGCTGCAGCACAACATACCTGTCTATACGAGATGCCAGATGAGCTGGGTGTGTCGTCGCCGCTGTGTGCCGTCGATGCTGCATTGCCGCCGCGCGCGCTGGCAGCCGGCGAGGCCTCCGCTTCCGGCGGAGCAACGGCGACAGCCATGCTGCAGTGGTGTAGTGAAGTGCGATTGAGCCTTGACTATGCAGCCGGGAGCAGCTGTCACCAACGCTGGGCACTCTGCAGTCGTCGATTTTAGTGCTGCCCTTGGTGTGCGAGACAAGCCAACCGTAATACAGTAGATATCTATATGCACCATACATTCAATCACTTTGACGTACATTCCCATCTCCTCCTGTGCGAAGTGCCGATCAAGAGGCACTCGGTGTGTCCGCTCTGGCCTTTGCACGGATCAACTCGATCAAAATCTACCACTAGTTGACGGACTTGCACACGATAAGGGAGCCTGACAGCGTTTAAGCGATCTGGGAACGCTCGCAAGACGGGACACGGTGTTTGAGGCCACGGATTCCACAGCTTTACTGTCAACCTCTGATATAGCGCGTCAGCAGACGTTTGAGACTCTGTGGGCAGGTCGGGAGTGCACAGCGCGGGAGCAGCTGGGGCGCGCATGGTGCGCCTGACGCTGATTGCGCGCGCGTCGGACGGGCTGCCGCTTGCGGAGGGCCTTGATAGCGACAAGGACCCCGAGATCGATGCCTACAAGCAGCAGGCCAAGGTGAGCGACTCCCTGTGCTTGTAGCAGGAGTCCTATGCGCGGCGGTTTGCTGGTGGGTACAACCGCAGCGCAGCCGACGGGCGCGGCAGCGGCCAAAGCGCCCGGCTACCGCCACACGCTCGCAAGCAACCTCTCCTGCCTCGCACGCAGGCGCTGTTCAAGCGCGTAGGCGGCTCGCACCAGCCGCCTCGCGTCAGCCTTGAAAGCGGCCCGAACGTGTTCCATTATCTGCTGGAGAGCGGCGCCTGCTTCCTCACGCTCACAGAGAAAGGATACCCCAAGGTGCGCACGTCCATGTTGGCTGCGTGCGACCTGCTCGTGCGTGGCGGCTTGAGTGTGCGCAGTACAGTAGTGTGTGTTGCGTACTGGGTGTGTGCGAGCAGCGAAACGCGTATCACTGGCGATCGCCACAGTGGGTGGTCGAGTTTGGGGCCTTATCGCGCTTTGTGTTTTTTTCGCGCTTTGGGATTTACGTGCGCATGGCGGCACAGCTGTCATCGCGTGGCCCTGAAAGTGGCTGTTTTCCTGAACCACATAGCGGGGCGCACGCGAACCGGTGCAGAGCGGCGTCTGCATCGTTGCGTTCGTCCTGGCCTCCGGCTTTTCCCGCCCAATGCGTCTGTTATTCTGCGCTGATCGGACGGGAATGGTCTTGGAGGCTCTTGGGCATGCGGCTTGTGTGGCATGTGCATTTTGCGCATCTTTGCGTGTCCCACATCCAAATCCCGTTCCCGGCCACCCTCACCGCGCGCCCATTCCCAGCTCGCCCTCTCCCACCACCCCGCCCCGGCACTGCAAGCGCTGCGCCGGCGCGCTGCTCACCTTCGCCCTCTCACTACACCTCCGGGGGGATTCGATCTTCACCCCAGCTCTACACATTCTTGAATGCAACCTGTCCCTCTGAATCTGAACCAGTGCACATCACACTCCGCCCTATCTTGATCAACCCCCGTCTGCCCACCCCCCCAGAAGCTGGCGTTCCAGTACCTGGAGGAGCTGGCGGGGGAGTTCAGCCGGCTGTATGGCGGCCAGGTGGAGGGCGTCACGCGGCCCTACGCATTCATAAAGTTCGGTGAGGGCGCGGGGTGGGGCCGGGAGCTGCTCAGGAGGGCTGGGGGTGCGAGGGTTGCGGTGGGACGAGGGTGCATGGGCTTTGGACGAGTGCGCGGCAGGGGGGCGTGGCTGTGGGGGGGGCGGGACGGCTGGGTACTAGCTAGGCTTGACCTGTGCTGCAGAGCGTGACCGGCCCTCTGCTCAGAGGTCCCTAGCTCCCGAGCTCCCCTTTGACGCACCCCCCTGGGTCGTGCCTTCATACGTCCTTTCGGCACCGCCGCACGCGTGTGTGCGTGCACCGATGCACACGCGCGTGCACAGCCATGCATGCACGGCCATGCGTGCACAGCTATGCCTGCACAGCCATGCGTGCCCACACACACACACACATATCTACACACATACACACAACATTTGCTGACATACGCTCACGCGCGCAACCTCACATCCCCCTCCCAGACACTTTTATCCAGAAAACCAAGAAGCTCTTCCAGGACAGCCGCAGCTCGCGTAACCTCGCGAAAATCAACGATGACCTGGCAGAGGTGGAGGCCTGGAGGGGGGGGGGATGGGGCCCTGGAAGGAGTGCCCTAG